TTTTTGGGACATGGAACGTCACCTCGCTGGCGGGGAAGGAGCAGGAGCTTGTGGCAGAGGTTGAGCGGTACCGGCTAGATATAGTCGGACTCACCTCGACACATAGCATTGGCTCTGGAACCCGAGACCTTGAGAGGGGTTGGACACTCTACTTTGCTGGAGTTGCTCCGGGTGAGAGGCGGAGGGCTGGGGTTGGCTTTTTGTTAGCCCCAAGACTCTCTGCCTGTGTGTTGGCGTTTACCTCGGGGGACGAGAGGGTAGCTTCCCTGCGCCTTCGGGTCGGGGAACGGGTCCTGACTGTTGTTTGTGCTTATGGGCCAAATATCAGTTCAGAGTACCCACCCTTTTTGGAGTCCCTGGGACGAGTGCTAGATAGTGCTCCATCAGGGGACTCCATTGTCCTGCTGGGGGACTTCAATGCTCACGTGGGCAATGACAGCTTGACCTGGAGGGGTGTGATTGGGAGGAACGGCCCGCCTGATCTGAACTCAAGTGGTGTTTCATTATTGGACTTCTGTGCAAGCCGCAGTTTGGCCATAACGAACACCATGTTCGAACATAAGGATGCCCACCGGTACACTTGGTACCAGGGCAGCCTAGGTCGCAGGTCGATGATAAACTTTGTAGTGGTATCATCTGACCTGCGGCCGTATGTTTTGGACACCCGAGTGAAGAGAGGAGCGGAGCTGTCAACTGATCACCACCTGGTGGTGAGTTGGATCAGATGGCAGGAGAAGATGCCGCGTAGACCTGGCAGACCCAAACGCATAGTGAGGGTCTGCTGGGAACGCCTGGCAGAAGAACCTGTTAAGACGGTCTTCAACTCCCACCTCCGGCAGAGCTTTGACCGCAGAGGGTGATGGAGGGGGCATGGGACTTTGCACAACCAATCCACAGAAAGGAGTGTGAGAAAGAAACAAGTCAAAAACACACAAGAGCAGCAAAACAAGAAGCAGAAAGCACAATAAAGAAGTCAGCCGTAACAGATCACTGCACAAGAGAAAACCATGTAATGGACCGGGACAACACAAGGATCATAACCACCGAACACCAGAAACATAAAAGATGGATAAAAGAAGCTAGTGGGCAGCAGTAGCTCAACAGGGAGAGCGGGTTGCCCAGTAATCGGAAGGTTGCAGGTTCGATCCCTGCTCCGGACAGAGAATTCTGCAGTTGTGTCCTTGGGCAAGACACTTAACCCACCTTGCCTGCTGGTGGTGGTCGGAGGGACCGGTGGCGCCAGCGCTCGGCAGCCTCACCTCTGTCAGCGTGCCCAGGGCAGCTGTAGCTCATCCCCACCAGCGTGTGATCGTGTGTGTGTGAATGGATGAATGATACACTGTAGTGTAAAGCACTTTGGAGTCCTTACTCTGAGAGGCGCTATACAAGTGCGGCTCATTCATCATTTATCATAGAGATAAGGAGATGTGGATGTGGGACAACGTCCTCTGCTGCCCGCGGATAAACGGAGTAGGAAGTGACGCCACCATCAGCGTGAGCTCTGAGGATGTTTGCAGCCGCAAACGAAACGTTGCAGGTAAATAAAACTTTTATGTGTTTAAAAAAGCACTGACAGATGGAAGAATTGTTGATGCTGCACTTGCATGATTTCCATCTGGTTTCCACCGACAGCTTTAACAGTTTTCTGTGTCAGCGGAAAGAAACAATTTGACGGTTTGGTCAGTTTTGCACGAGCCCACGAGTGCAACATGATAGTGAACTTAGTGTTTGTAACAGAGGGTTTGACTTTGGCATAAGTCAGATATAAATCTTTCTATCAGGTTCCTCTGTTGGGCTGAAAGTTTAGAACATAGAGGTTTCATACATGACGGCTTTGTTTAAAAATAAAATAGAGTTTTTTAATAACATACTCAAGTTATTTTCTTTTAAATTGTGGTTTTTGATTATTTATTATGCAACAGATACATTTTTTACAATATCTTACCTTTATTTATTTATTTATTTATTTGATTATTATTACAATTATTATTATTACGATTGTTACAATTATTATTATTATTATAATTATTATTACTGTTATTATTATACTACAATTATTATTATTATTATTATATTACAATTATGATTATTATTATTATCATTATTATTGTTATTGTTTTTATTATTACAACTATTATTAATTTTAATATTATTACTACTATCATCATTATTATTATTATTATTACTATTACACCAAGAGGAATGTAGCAAAACAAGCTGCCCCCTAGTGGCTGGTTGCACCCTCAGACTCAAAAACACAACATGGCAGCATATTTTCACTTTTCAATAACAGAAGTAAGGCAGAGAAGATTCATCCATCTTTATGGTGATAATTCAGGTTGTGCTGCCCTCTAGTGATGAAGTGTTCTTGGTAGAAAAAAACTTCTTCCTGTCATTTATATCCAACCAAACACAATGTTAGTGTTCCCAGGCAGTACCACAAACTAATTTAGATAACAGCATCATAAAGATTTTTATTACCACTAAACTGAAGTCTTCAGGTTTTAAATAAATTAAATTAAGCTTGTAGTTTAGAACCTACTGCAAATACAAGGCCAACCAAAACATAAAGTACAATAAAAGTCACGTGCTGGATTCATGACTTGGGGTTGCTGGTCAGGACAAAAAACTCATCTCATAAGTATCTTTATTGATTTTAAAAAAGCATTTGATACAGTGGATCATAAAATTCTTATTAAAAAGCTTAGTAAATATGGCATCACAGGGATGGCCCTAAAATGGATAACACGTTATCTTACCTTGGCAGCAATATGTTCAAATAAACAACACAAAATCACATATAAATAACATTACTTGTGGTGTACCACAAGGGTCGGTATTGGGCCCTAAACTATTTATCATTTATATAAATGACATTGTTGAGGCATCCAATATATTAAAATGCACCTTATTTGCAGATGATACAACTTTTTACTATTCAGGAGATAATGTTGAGCAGATGATAGAAGTGATGCAAACAGAGATGAAAAAAATTAAACTATGGTTTGATGGGAACAAACTATCATTAAACAGTGATAAATCCTGTTTTATGATATTTAGTAATACATATTCAAATGATGAAATTTTATTAAATATAGATGAGATTAATATTAAAAGAGTTAAACAAGTCAAGTATCTGGGAGTCATCATTGATGAAAAATGTCTTGGAAACTGCATATAAACTGTGTCAAAACTAAAACATCTAAAACTGTTGCACTGTTACATAGAGCTAAAAGGTTACTTGATAGTAATTCCCTATATTTGTTATATAACTCACTGATCATACCGTACCTGAACTACTGCATTGAAATCTGGGGAACAACATATAAAACTTACACAAATTCCATTTGCATCTTACAGAAAAAAGCAATAAGAATAATCACAAGGAGCAACTACAGAGATCCGTGTAACTTGTTTTCTCTTTTTTTCGATTCATGGGTTGAGGTTGTGTCGGCCAACCAGTCCAGGAACTATATTGTTCAATTTTTTTAGGAATCTTCTGATTGTTTCATTTGTATTAATGTTATTTAGTTAAAAGGGGCAGACAACATACGTTTTTCTTCTTTCTGTCCCCTTTTTCATTTTGGCTTGTAGCAATTTAGTTCTGTATTTTTATTTTAATGTCAATAAATGAAAATAAAAGATGGAAAAAAAGGACGAGCTGACGGAGAATTTGGACATTTGTCTGACTCTCCCATCATCGGTACTAAATGGTAGTGAACGGAAATCAAACTGATGATGTTGCAGAAGCGTACAAAAGTAACAGCATGTGGGCTGTAGTCAAAGCTAATAAGGGTCCAGTGAAATACTGGAGAGTGGACTTTATTGGTGCGTTGATGTTGATCTTCATGAAGATGTCATAACCACTGAAGCATCCTGACATTCTGCACTAGATGTGTCCTTTTCCTTCAGTGCCCTCAGAAACAGCAACCAGACTACAGACACGGTTTCCTGGAAAGGAACATGGACATGTGGTTTTCTGACAACATCACATCCAAGCTTCCAGGCCTTTACCGCACTCTGCACGGTAAAACACGGCGGGTTGAATTTTCAGGGTTAAACATTTCTGAGTTAATTTTAACACCCACAGAATCTTTTCAACACTTTGAGAGTTAAATATAAGTCAGGTCTGGAGTTGTTTCACATTAGTGCTAATTAAACCCATTTTAGGTAGAAATAAAAGCCCAGAGAGAGGTGCTGCTATCTTTGGTGATAGTGATAATTCACATGCTGTGTTCTGACCAGGTCCTCCAGACACACCACGTCCCCCGCTCCTCTTCTGGACTTTACTGGTAGCTGGTTAACAAAAGCATTCACTCCAAGATCCTGGTTCTGGTTTTTAGAGCCTTACACGGACAAGCACCATCATTTAACTCTTGAACGTTTGCTGTGTCTCCTTTCCTCAAGAAAACTGGAAAATGGATGGAATAAGTGAAAATGTGTTACTATCCCATCGCTGCATGTTTGCTGGGATTAACAAAAATGTTGACCTCTACAGAACGGATGTTATTAATTCATGTAAATATTTGTGTTCAAACACCTTTTCATAGCGTCAGCAGAACCCTCTCAGCCTGAGGTGATCCTGATCACACCAGCAGAGGGCACGCATCACCTCTACTTTGGTTTGAGTTTAATATTTATTTCCCCCAGAATGTTTACACATATGAAAAATAAATAATAACATGTTTCTGAGCCGTGAGCTTTAGTGTGTTTCACTTTGACCAGCTCCTTGGACTCAGAACAATGTAAGAGTTTAAATATTTAGATTAAAATGTAAAAGTAAATGTTTATTGAACACGACTGTGTTTATAACAGATGTTAAGCATAATGAGTGCAGTGCAGGAACCCATCATCCTCTCATGAAGCTGGCTCTGTAAGTAGAGCCGCTTTCATCCGACATGAAGGTAAACAACCACCAAACCTCCCGGATACGGTGGCCCACGCGGAGTCGCTGATGAGCAGTGACAACGCCGCGCGCCTGCCTGCACTGCTGTAGAAAACCTCCCACAGGGGCGATGCGTCATACAGGTGCTGGCGGGAACACTTTGTTCTCGTGAGAGTGTTTAATGGTCCGTATCCAACCTACGTTGTGCACGTGTGTTCCCCCCAATAATAGATCGATTACTTTGGAGGTTAGAAGAAGAGGGAACGGTGGCGACTGCGCGTTTACGGGAAAGGGTACTATTTTATTTGAGCCGACAAAAATGGGTGCAACCGGAAGTAGAGGAGGCGGATGACGTAAGTCTTATATTACACCGGCGGGCAGCATCATTCGGTTAGCTGTAGGCACAACTAACTAACACCACCTACACGTGTATGGAGGACGGAGGGCTGGAAGCAGGTTTTTGTCCCCGGCTGACGCGTTTTGGATCATTTCGGCAGTAAAGTGTGGTGATATGAGGAGCGGAAGCATCATGGAGACACAGTAATACTTTTAATTCAGGTGAGTGATGTAAGCTAGCAGCGCATGTGGCGGGACAATATTTCCTCGTTAGTTTCCTCTTCTCTTCCTTCTGATCTAACAGGAACAGGTGCCGTTCCCGCCGTGAGGACAAACAAAGGAATGTTTCCTTTAAAACTGGTGTAATCTAACGGAACGGGTGTTTATGGTTGTTTTAAGCTCCGATGGTGAGCGAGACTTCCATGTCTACCTATCTAGTTACATGTTTAGGAGACCACGTGGTTAGACTGCTTCCTAAGGTGTTGGTCCTTCGTTTAATCTAAAGGAACCTGGTAAATGATCAAGGTGTCTATAACTACTGTTATACTACATTTGTTAAGAGCGAGTGCACCAGGACAGCTCATGACGGATGTTGTGGAGAAAAGACCAGAGGCTGAGATGGTTCAGACATTAGAAGGATGCATGAAGCTGACTGGTGGGAGAGGAGAGGGTGGATGGAGCTTAATGACATCTGTTCACCTCAGAAGGAGAAGAAAAGTCCCTAAAATAATAATGATTTAATTTAGGATGCTTTCATTTTAAAGTAGAGCTAAAAGAAAAGTTAATGCTGCCACTGGTGACTCATTTGAATTGCCATGGTGACCATGCATATTATGATTTTTTTTTTTTACTTTTGACCTGAAGATATGGTTGTCCTGAAGTTTCAGAGGTCTGTGAAATCCTGGGTGTGTATTCTGAGGAGAGATGAGGAAAACCATCAAGTCCTACAGCGGCGGTGGAAGACCAGAGAAAAGTGTCGTCTGTACAAAAGATCAGTTGGAGAATTTCTCTAGAATTAGCCATGTGACGTTCACGAACGAATCAGATCTTTTGAACGGGTTTTCGACGAGAGCTGAGACCTGGTAGTTAACCGTTCATCTTGTCTTACAGCAACACACACACACACACACACACACACACACACACACACACACACCGGCTCTCATGGACATGGGCAGAGCACTGCCGTCCCCCTCCCTGCGCTGTCGCGGACATCGAAGGGCTTATTACTTTGGTTGTGCATCTGAATCATATTGAAAAGAGTGGTTTGTGCTGGAGTGGGGTGGAGGTGGTTTACGGTTAACCAGCTTAACCATTAAGGGTGTTAATAACCAGTTAAAGACCTTCTTTAAACTGTGCATCCCTTCTGTAGATGGTTTAAAGTTTAGTGGGACATTATTACCAGTCCAAACATCTCTGAAACTGGTCTCCACTGATGTTCCTGGCGTGAAGTCTACCTCGTTCACTTCTTAGTTCGTGGTACTGGTGAATGAATAGGAGATGAATTGTTTGTAGAAGTGAAAGCCTGTCACGGTGAGTGTGACTGCTGAGATAAGAGTTGTTCTAATCAGAAGAGCCTCAGGGGGTCCACCACAAAGTCCTCTGAGTAGAGGAAGATCATCAATCCAACTGATTTATGACCCGTGGTGATCACAGTGATGATTGTGTCACAGTCCATCTTCTGCAGAGATGCCTAAAGGATCATTTATGTTGGTCCTTCTGTTTGGAGACATGGACTAATGCTTCTCACTCTCACATTTCAGATTCCCAGATAAACGCCAGTGACTAGATTGTCGTCTAAAAAGCAGATTTTTGAGTTTCTAAACGAGCCGACAGCAGTTGTGTTCATTAGGCTGAATGCTTGCTCACCCTCATCACCAGACTTTCACTTCTAGTTTTTTCTGTAGTGTGTTTTTGCCTTACCAGGATCTCATATGAGCCGCTGGATGAATATTAATGACACTTTTCATAAAGTCATAACTGGACATACGTCAGCAACTGATTACCTTTTGGAGTCTGTCCAAAGCAAGATGGTCACAACTACAGCTAACCGGTAGTTAACCATAACTCTGTCGGTCTGACAGATAATGACAGCGACATAAAAACCTTTTCTGCTGAGTTATCTCAGTGAAAAACGGATGTGCAAAGTTTTCCTAGATGGGGCTGTGGGAGCACAATTGCTCCATCGGCAGTTTTGTTGATGGTAGTACTCCACCAGATCTGTTCATCTAAATTATTTTTAATTTCTACTTTAAAAACTTAAAGTACTAAGAAGTTTTAGTTGTTAAAGGAAAACTGCAGTTTTGACTCCAGTGCCAGCACATCAGCTCCACTTTACTAGGACTAAAGCCTAATTTATGCTTCTCCGACTGCAAGGGCTCTCCAACAGGTTCGTAAGAACAGACGGAGTAGAGCTCACTTTTCTAAACATCCGTCAAACAAGCGAAGAGCGCACGCTTGTGATTGGCCAAGATGCTGCTTGCTTTAAAATTGTACACAGCACCACCAATAGAGCCACAGAAGTCCAGCTGGAGCCACGGAGCAGCTTGTAGAAGACTTGGAGAAAAGACTCTGAACGTTTGTTCACCCATGACTGGAGGAATAAAGATGCGCAAAATTCACTCTACTACTGATTTGCAAAGTGGATGCCTTACCTCCTCAATAACACAAGCCTGGAGGAGTTCTGCTGTGTGGTGGAGTTGCTAATGCTAAAAGTTAGCTTCTACTAACAGAGATGTTCTCTGCTGTTTCCTGGATGCTAAACCAACAACAGCCTTCCCTGTCATGAGTCCAGATAAGTGAGACCATGAATGTGAGTGACAGTGTGACGTAGATCTGTCAGGGTTTTACAATCCTAGAGTTTCACCGTCTGGTTTCTACCAGGTGTAGGAGACTATTTTCACGTTCAGCCTGCATGAAACACTCAGTGACTCGTTAGAATCAGAGATGATCATTAAAAATGTGTTTTAGGTGAACGACACCTTTAATTTTATTTTCCTAAAAGCCTTTTTTGAGTTTCTATAAAAAAACTAAACGGTTTAGCGGTTGACAGCTGGTCAGGGTTAGGATGGAGACGCCTTAATGAATTAAGATGCTAAAGTCCTACTAGTGCAGTTATCATGAATATTACTGATTACTTAAATGTACTTCTACTTGTTCATATCTGTTCAAATGTAATCAGTAAGAATATCATTTGGACAAGGATACATTATGTTATTGCTAAACAGGAATTTGAGAGGTGTTGTTGATTTAATATTAAAATGGCTTGCCATACTGAAGTGTTGTAGACAGGTACAGGGAAAACGTAGAACAACACGATATGAACCGTCCTTCACTGGAATGTTCTAATATTTCTGTTAAATCTGTTCAGTCACTAACCTAATCTGACTCCGTTGGAGCTAATCTGTCTGCATGGTCATCTCAGAGATGATAAGTTGGGACTTTTGCAGCTTTTTTTCTGCCAGCTCTGCAGATGGACGAGTCATCAATCTGAATTTGTCTTTTAGCAACTTTGGGAGTCTAAAATATTTCCTCACAGGAGACTTGAAGCGCTTCCTAGGTGGAAACGGAGCAGTGCTGGTGGTCGTTCACACTGCTTCTGCTGCGTAGTGTTCATTGCTAACAGCGTGTTTTACTAACTAACTAACTAAAACTTTATTTATATAGCGCCTTCACACGGCCCAAGGACCAAACAAAGCGCTGCACAGCAGAAATAAACCTAAAAAATAAAAACATATAAAACCATTTAAAACCAACAAAAACATGTAGATAAAATCTAGGTGGGGCAGCAAAAAGTGCAGAGCCATCAGTTAACGAGACTCTTCCTGAATAAAAGCTAAAGAATAAAAGTGTGTTTTCACACGGCTCTTAAACTTGCCGAGCGTGCTGGCCTGTTTAACACATGCAGGTAGCTCATCCCAGAGCCTCGGCCCCAGCACCGAGAAAGCACGACTAGGGATGGGTACCTTTGACATTTGAATCGATTCAGTACTAATACCCGGTACCTAGGAATCGATACCAGTACTTAACGGTACCAATTTTAGGTACTTTTGAGTGTTTGTTATTTTAATTCTCTTTTATAATTAACTGTATATTTTCTCAATATATAACCATATTTGATAAATATCACGATAAATAACATACAACTGTTTGTATTTTAACATCGTCCTTGTAGTTTTATAAGCTGATAATTAAACTGAAGCAAACATCTTTACTGTGAACTAAATTTACTGTGTATCTTCATTCCTTTTGCCGTCTTTTTCATTTGATTTTTCCTACTGGGAAGTTAGAATTTCCGAGGAGAAAGCGAACGCACCATTAGATGATAACAATGGTGGCAATGGAAGCTAACATACCAAGCTAACGTTATCTTAAACAGTTTATTTAGCTGCTGGAGCAGATTAAAACGATGATGCCTCACACTTAGATCGTTGTCACTGGTTTCATCTTCACCCAATCACCCGTCGCATTTAGTAAAGTGAAGCCAAACTTTAGAGCGCGTTCATGTTCTTCTAGTTGGGAATTCGGAGTTCCAAGGAGAAAGCGAACGCACCATTAGCGAAACGGAAGCTAACATATCAAGCTAATTATATTTACCTACCGGAGCAGATTAAGATGAGGATGTCTCACTTAGATCGTTGTCGCTGGTTTCATCATCACCCAGTTACCCATCACATTTAGTGAAGTGGACCCAAGCTTTAGCGTGCGTTCTTTCTACCAGAGCTGCTCTGTTTACAACTGGCTCGCAGCGAGCAACGACATAACGCTCTAGTGCATGCGCAGCTGTCTAGGCAAGTTCTCGTTATGAAGGACGGGTACCGAAACGAGGCACCGTTTGAAATGACGTGAATCGGTGCTCGGTCGGTACTATGGAATTCGGTCGGTGCCTTAAAAAGCACCGAATTCGATACCCATCCCTAAGCACGACCCCCTCGAGATTGTAGTCTGTTTTTAGGAACGACCAACAGTCCTTGCTGTGCTGACCGAAGGTTCCTTGAGGGAACATAAGGATGGATCAGATCCGATAGATAACGTGGAGCCAACTCATGTAAACATTTAAAAACAAACACCAGAACTTTAAATGAAACTCTAAAGGAGACTGGAAGCCAGTGTAGGGATGCCAGGACGGGCGTGATGTGTTCAGATGTCCTGGTACCAGTCAGTAACCTGGCTGCCGCGTTTTGGACCTTCTGCAGTTTCGTTATGGAGGCCTGCTTGATGCC